GCGTTTTTTTCGATACCAAGTACTTTTGGTCCTTTTTGCTTCATATAATGGGGCCGAAAAACTAGTGTTTTTGCATCTTCATCTCTTAAATTTTAAATATAAGTACAGTGGAATCTCCATAACTCGAATGTCAAGGGAAATGCAAAAAATTCGAGTTAACGACTTTTCGACTTAACGAGAAATCCGAGATACATATGATTTAACTGCTGAAATTTCGACTTCCGAAGGCGCTGCCAAAAATAAATACTGACCGACTGAAAGCAATCGTGTTCTGTGTCAACAAGGAACAAACATAACATTCACAGCTGTTACTTAGAAAGTTTTATGAATGTATTCATTCATTGCACGTGTATAAGACAAAAACAATAGATTAGAAGCCCATAACCTTAACATTCATTTTGGATTTTATTGTTATTATTTCGGGGAATTCCAAGTAAGAAGTCAATAAATTTTACTGACTACGACTTACGGAATCTCCTTTTTGAAATTCGAGTTAAACAGAAATAACATTTCGTTAGAGTTGTAACTCTAACGAAATGTTATTTCTGTTTAACTCGAGTCTAAGTAATTAGTCTAAATAATTAGAGATTATTACGTATTTAAGGGTTCAGCGGAAGGGAATGGCAATTTTTTTCGAATTACTGAGGATTTCGACTTAACTAGGTTCGTGTTATAGAGATTCCACTGTAATAATTATTTCTGTTATAGGTTGTTTCTCCCAATATTTCTGTTGTTTTAATGCGTCTAAAGTTACAGCCTATATACGTCCCACTGCTGGGTTCAGGCCTCCCCTCATTTCTGAGAGGGTTTTAGGGCAAGGAAGTGTCCGCCGCGCTGCCCAAATGCGTGTTGACGAACTTCACATGTCTTCGAAATATTTTTTTTGTCTTATTCCTCAGACATGCGGGTTTCCTCACGATGATTTCCTTCACCGCCGAGCACGTGGTAAATCAGCACTTAAAATTGCAATTAACAATTACATTGGTGCCGCCGGGGATCGAACCCGGGTTACTCGCGTTCTGTTATATTTACAGTGAGCGTTAACCACTGAGCTACCAAAGCTCTTAATGCGTCTAATATAATAAAAATAATAGAAACTGGCTTTTTGTATTTATTTTATTCTGGAATATAATTAAGGCCTAATACTCAGTACTAGGTCGTTAATACTCAGTGTTCTGCCGAACCATAAAAAAAAGTAATCCAAATCGAATACTCGTCCCATGTCTAATAATTACATTAATCTAATAATTGCTGCTTCGAATACCACACGGAAAGAGTGTTATACATACATACATTTTGACCAGTATTTTTGTAGATATTAAGGATATAGTCTAGGTAGTAAGTATTAGAATAATCTATTCTTATAATCGCTGTTTCAAATTTCACACAGAACTAGTGTTACACACACAGTACAGACGAAGTTGGCGTGTAAGTGCGGCATAGGAGAATTCATCATCACTTTTATCCCGTGGATTTCGTAAGAGGCGACTTTGGGTTTGGCTTTCCGACATATGGCAGTATAACCACCTCGTTTACTTCAGATGTAAAATATCCAGACCTGCGACAGGCAACATTACCAGAGGTGCTCACGTCTGGTTCTGCGATCGTCAATCCTACACCAAGCGTGACGACTGAGGCAAATCCTCCCTACATCGGGAGAGATTCTTCCATGTGCAGCTGTGGAAGTTTACGGAAGGATTAAATAAAATAATAAAAATAAAAATGTTTTATTTTTCAGGCATCGTAGGCCCATAACATGTTAGTAATACAAATAAAACTTAAGAACTAATGTTAGTACGCAAAACAAATAAAAACACAATAGAAAAAAAAAACAAAATAAAAATTCACACAATGCATACAAATTTGATAGATTTATCAAGCTCACTTTAGTATATGTAGCTTGACAAACCTACCTAGTGTCGGGCCATCGAGCCTCTCCCCAAAGACCCTCAGGATACTATTCGAGCTCCCTCTCACTCTGCGCATTAACGACTCCACTTTTTTACGCATGGTCGTGAAGTAGTCATCAGTATGCGCATCGGCGAACATGCCTGATGCACTACAATAAGGTGGAAGCCCCAACAATAATCTGAAGGCATTGTTATATTGAATACGCAGGGTATTGCTTGCCTTTTGGGTATGATTGGCCCAAAGGCTGCTGGTATAAAATGATTAGCAGTAAGCCTCGAACAGTGTAATTTTAACTGGTACAGAGCAAGCAGCAAACCTTCGAGCCACCATATTACCTCTCACAGCTAGTACCCTGCGTTCCCTTTTGATATCTAGATCATCCTTTAAATCCTCTGTGACAATGTGACCAGGTATGAGGTAAAATGAGTTACTCTCTGTAACAGTGAACCATTAAGCTTTACTGGAGGAACACATATTGGATTTTTATTTCTACCTCTGAAAACTAACAGTTCACTTTTTTTAGCATTATATTTTAATCCATGCTGCTCAGCATAATTCTCACAAATGGAAAGGAAATTTCGTATTCCACAGATTGACGGGCTCAGCAGCACCATGTCGTCTGCATAGCTCAAGTTATTTAGACATACTTCATCTATATGACAACCAACATGTGTGCTGCTAAGCTCCTCAATCAGCTTATTTATGTAGATATTAAGAAGCTTCGGAGAGGTAAGACCCCCTGCCTCACACCGCATTCAAGTTTATACGGGTCAGACAATGCATTGGACCACCTAACAAAATTTCTTTGCTTATCATACCACATAGATAACGTAGACACTAATGAAGCAGGAACTCCCGCCTCCCGAAGCTTTTCCCACAGAACATTGTAGGAAATCAGGTCAAAGGCTATTGAAAGGTCCAGGAAACAAGCATTTACGGGTGTTTTCCTGTCAGTGTAATATTTGACAGAGTGCTTCAATGCAAAAATAGCACTCTCAGTGGATAGTCCCGCACGAAAACCAAACTGTGAATCATGTAATTTTATGTATCCACTGAGGCGCAAGTCTAGCACACTGTCAAATACTTTTGCTATCAAAGTCGCCAGTGAATTGGTCTGTAATTACACTTATCTGCTATGTCTCCAGTCCTGTTTTTAACAATAGGTACGACTATAGTATCCAGAAGCTCTTGTGGTAAGTAAGAATGTCCTATACATAGATGAAAGAATATGGTCAACACTCTTGGCAAATGTATTCCAGCGTTTTGAAGGTGCTCGATGCTGAGTCCGTCATGTCCAGGAGATTTACCTTTCTTCATACTTTCAATACAGATTTTAGTTCCTTACATGTTACCTTTAGTGGTGATTCTGACTGACATGACTCCGCATCGTTCACACTATGCACAGTTTCAAGAGGTGAGCTCACTTTAAAATGATTTTTGAAAACATTTGCTATCTCAGTATAGTCACTCTTACCCTCCAAGCTACCTGGAAGACTTGCGGTATTGCTTAATTTCCTAGTACCTTTCCAAAAAGCAGAGAAACATTTTGTTGAATGAAGTGAGGACAATATATCCATTTTTATTTTTTCTTGATTTTTAATACACCACTTTAATTTAGATTTAAATATTTTACGCGATAGTCTCATATCTTCAAATATGGGCCCCCTACTAGGTTGACCATACCACATCCATATTTTTTACTTAATCCTTGCATTTTTATGAGATTACATATTTATTCCATCTCTTTATACCCTTATATTTTCCTACAACACCCCTCGGGGCTTTACTATTTCTGGCTGCATCACATAGTATAAATACAATTTTGTTATACATTTTATCCAACAAAACTTTATGTTCTGGGTTATTACATTTATTTGAACATGATTCAAAAACCTTAGGAAAATCAAAATTTTTTAACTTATTATTACACATTGTAGAATATTTATTTATTTCTTCTGTATTTCTTACTCCCCAATGAATATTATTATAATTGGATTTTATAGCACAGTTTTTTACTCTAATAACGGATAAGTTACATTTTAATTTTAATGGAAAATGGTCTGACCAATAAGAGTCAAAGATGACCTCAACGCTTACACCCGTGTGAGTCACTTATGAATGTAAACGTAGACGATGACATGCCCAAATAATCAATATCCGCACATAATAAATCTTGTTCTGTACAAAAACTAAGAAGTTCATTACAAAATAACTCACCTGGGTGCGCATTGAAGTCCCCCAATACAAACACTGATTCTATATTACTATTTTGTATTATATAATACATTTCACTGAGACATTCTGTAAAATGTGGTAAGTTTTCACTGCAGTCAGTTGGCATGTACATATTTAAAACCATAAAACTTCGGTTATTCACCTCTATTTTAACAGAACAAATCCGATTGCTCTCACTTTGCACCACACTCACGTAACTAAATGTACTTTTTCGCCATAGTATGGCAAGACCTCCGTATGGTCTGCCTTTGCAAATACCTGCAGAAGTGTCCACTGAAGACTTGGCCGTATAACTGAATTTTTGATCTATATTTTCTAAAAAGGATAGATCATGTGGATATAACCACGTCTCTTGTAATAAAATAAATCAGCCGTCCTGCACAGTGAACATACACAGTTCACGGATCTTTTCACATTTTTACAATTAAATGTTACTATAAATAATTTTGATTCACTATCCATTTTTTTGTATTTTTGTTACGCCACCATTCAGAGACAGGTTATTACCATCTCCTATTCTCTTTCTAAAATGTATAAACCGTCGAAATTTGATCCCATCAGGCCACATTTGATCGTCTAGAAATATGTCTAGCTTATTTTTATTTATATATAGTTTAAAGGCATTGTATGGCCGTTCTTTTATCATTGTAATTTTCTCAAGTGAAACTGTTTCGGATGTTTTATTTTTAATGTATTCGCAAATATCCTTTTCCGCTGTCTCCTTGTTTACATTGGATATAAACAAGGGGACTTTTATATCTGCCGCTTTAAACTTTTCAGAGAGGTCCGTTACTGCTTTCCCCGTTTTTCCTGCAAACCTTTTGGTTTCTATACCTTCTTTTTTGAACTGTTATTTATTCTTCAGTTGGTTTATTTTGTGTTTTCCACTCTCCATTACTTACAATTTGCGCCATAGTAGGCTGTTTAGCTTCACTCGTCAATTTAGCGCATACAGGTGATTCAGACAACGCCGTGCACATTTCGTTATCCAATAATGTCGAATTAATCAGTGCGGCCGCACTCGACTTCTCTGCCTCGTTAGCGCGAACGAGTGAGCGATATTTGGACGGTTCTCTATGCTGTGAACTCGAGTGCCTCGACAATGATTCATTGCCTGCTGGTGATAAACCGACCGGTCCACTATCAAGCGTGTACCCTCCTCTTTTATTTATGTTAATATTACCGGTTAAAAATGATGCCACTGGCCTATTTGATTCTAAATCCTTCTTCAACTTATCTAATTGATTCACCGTGGCATAATTGTTTTTTATATCACTGATTTCATTACGCATAATCAGCAAGTTTTAACAATTTAGTCACATCAACATGATCAAATGTAACAGGCGGTAATTTTTGTAGGTCACGCGCCACAAAGACTGGCATAAGATCAGTCACTTTAAAAACACATATTATGTCCTCTAAATTTCTTTGCTTTTTGCCTTGTTTTCGCCTGGATACTTTCTTCTAAATATTTTTTATCAAATTATTAATTAGATATTAGATTATTAAAATAGAGGAATTATTTGTAGGCCATACAAAGACTCAAAACAAGCCCTGGTAGCTCAAGGGCTAGGAGTTTGCCACAAAATTTCGCAGTATGCTAAAAACTTAAGTTAGTTTTACACCAGCACCCATCAAATTGTTAATTTTCTATGTGTATGGGTATATAGTAGGGTGATCATCATCATCATCATCATCATTACAGCCCTTTACAAGTCCACTGCTGAGACGTAATTGTGGTTCTCGGGTGGCAGCCTCGTGCCGGTAGACAAAGTGTAGGGCGGTTTACAAAGTTAGATATGCAGAAAATTGATGGATGCAGGTAGCTCAGGACCGTGCTTTGTGGTTTTCCTTGAGGGAGGCTTATGTTCAGCAGTGGACTTGTGAAAGGCTGCAATGATGATGATGATTCATCCACCTCATTTAGTGAGTGTTCTGCCACAACTTGTTTTTAGTAGGTGAGTGCTTGCCAGTATAAGGATACCATAAGCACCTTTTCTCCATATATTTCTTAGTATGAAGTGACAAACAAACTAGCAATCCACCTTATGGTATGTAGCCGATCCACCTGATGGTAAATGAGTACTGCAGTCCAGAGACCAAACTTCAAACATAAAAGGCTACAATGCACTGTTACCTCTGACTAAGATGCAATGCCCCACAGCCTGTGATTATACTGACTCTATACTCTTCAGACTGACACATAGCAGTTCACGCACTGATATTTAACGACAGAAATAGGTAACAGGAGAATGGAGGAGTTCATCTGGGTTAATAAATTGGCCCAGATAGGTGGTAGCTTACCAGTTGTAAGTACATCATTAATTCCTATGAAATAAAAAAAATTCTCTATGAGAGTGCTTTTTACATGCACTTTGAACTTAGGCAAAGGCAAACCAGTACATTGCACATTAAGCCCTCTTTATTTTGTGTCCATGGCTACAGTAACCACTTGCCATTATGTAAATTGTACCTTAATTTAATGATATCACAAAAGTGTATATCTTACCCATTTCATAACTCCAGTTTTCGTCAGATTTGAAATTCTCATTTTCGATTTTCTCTTCCTTAACTTTAACAGATTCAAGGTTAAAAATGTCGTCCTTACAATCATTTTCTATATCACACTCTACTGGCCAGATATCTATATGATTAATTGGTGTGAATTGAATCTCATCTCTAGCTTCATGTGGTTTTGGTATTGACTGAAACCAAACTCTTTTTTAAATAAGAGAAAAGCCAGTGTAGTAGTGCCGTAGGAGAATCCAAACTACCCCATACCATCCCGCAGATGCAGCAGCATCTCAACAAATTTTCCATTCAGATTCACAAATACCGTAAATTGACAAAAGTTTACTAATAACATTTGTCACTTATAGACAATATTTCGTTTATAACAATAAGTACTTCACTTACTGTAATTCATAAAATACAGAACATGGCTCCTAAAATAAAGTAAGTTGGATTGAAAGACAAACTTAACTTTGCAGTCGAAAAATCATTCTCCCGTATAAAAAGATTAAATAAATAAGGTTTTATTCATAATCAAGTACTTCTTCCTTCAAAAGCAAAATGCGCCCGAAGTAAGCCTTCTTCCATATCATAAAATTAACTAAATTTAACCCTGAGCGCAAACAACATATTTTTTTTGAAATTTAGAAAGTAGAAATAGTGTGTGTAGTGTGTGCGTACATAGTGAAAGTGTAGTGTGTGTGTAATATTCACCTTGAGCACATCTCGAATCCCACAATTTTCTAACTTCTGCAAGAATGGAGGTATACAATGTCAAATGCCTTTTTAAGATCAAGAAAACTGTGAGGCAATTAAAATTTTTATCAAGATTATCAAAAACTACAGATTTCAGGGGTTCCACAGTGTCTTATTTATTATTTATTTATTTATTCTTTTTTGTAAACCACAATACAGCAACATCAAGTACAGTTAAAACTAAATTAAAATATGTACAATAGGCGGTCTTATCACTCTGAAAGTGATTTCTTCCAGACAACCTTTGCATAGAGAAATAATGCAAACAAAAGTTAAAATAAAGGGGGACATACAAAATAATAATAAAAAAAATAATAATACATGCAAATAAAGATAAGTGAAAATAATATATAAAATATATAATAAATTAAATGAAAAGAGTATGAGAAAGGTAAAGTAATTTATCTAATAGCATTCTAAATACTACGATTTAACAAGACTTTTGAAAGAGTAAAGAGATTTAGCACGACGAATATGGAGAGGTAAAGAATTCCACAATCGCACAGCAGTTACGGTGAAGGATTTCTTGAAAAAGAAAGAAGAGTGCAAAGATGTAGAGAGAGAAAGATTGACAGAGGATCGAAGGAACCGATTATAGGTAAGAGAAAGATACTGGAAACGGTTTTTTAAATAAAGAGGAGTGGAAGGATTAAACAGCAAGCTATACAACGCGAAATACTGTAGAAGTTAACCTAAAAAGTTAAAGTTGAAGTTGACAACGAAATTCGAAATACCCCATTCGAAATAATTTGTCCGAAAACAAAATGGATAAAAACACGGAATTACTTCTCCTCAAACTTGACGAGAAACTCAAAAAACAAGCCGAAAAGATAACTCATTCGGTAACCGTAAATGTCATGGAAGCGCTAGATGAAAAGATGAAAGCAATTACCGAGGAAAACAATATCCTCAAAAAAAGAGTATCAGAACTAGAACAAAAACTTAAAGCAGTAGATAGAGAAAAACGTAAAAACAACCTAGTGTTTTTCGGCTTGGAAAAGACGGGAAAATATGAAGGGGTACTAGTAGACTACATTAAAGAACTTATATCAGATACGGGAGTCTACTTGGACAGTCACGAAATTAACAGCGTGTACAGAATCGGGAAAAAAAGCAAAAACAAGAACCGCCCAGTGGTAGCCTCTTTCACAACCCTGTGGAAAAAACATCTTATACTCAAAAATAAGACAACCCTGCCGCCAGGTATTAATGTGAAAGAAGACTACTCCAAGGAAACCCTGGAAAAACGAAAACAGCTACAACCTCAACTAGAAGAAGAAAAAAAAAGGGAAACATCGTTTACATAAAGTATGACAAACTGATAGTGTTAAAACCAAAGAACAACAATAGAGAAAAGCGGAAAAGGGATACTTCGGCGTCTCCTAAATCATCAGCACCGAAAAAAACAAACAAACACCAAACCATAAGCGATCACCCACAATTCTTATCCAAAACTAACAGGAAAGATATTATTAATTAATTATTAATATTAAACCCAGCATACTGAACCATAATAACTGAGCAAGTTCTGACCCACAAGTAAACATTCCAAAAAACTTATCATCGCTCCGGAAAATCGGAAACAAACATTACCTATACTAACCTTATTTAACAACACAAAACAAGTAACAAAAAACTTCCCACCCCGTTGTGGGAGGTTTTTTTGGTCCCCGCGGGAAGTACTGACCACTACCCTCTAACAACAAGAAGACAAACGACACTCAATATTGCAACCTTAAATACAAGAATCCTTAGAACAGAAGAAAGCCTACATGAACTAGAAAAAGCTCTCGAAGACATAAACTGGGACATCTTAGGAATTAGTGAGATGCGACGATTGGGAGAAAAGATCGAAGTGCGAACTGATTCATACTCTTCCAAAAAGGTTACCCGGACATAGAGGAGTCGGATTCATAATCAAACAGTCATTGAAACAACAAATACAAGAGCTAATTGGTCTCTCTGATCGTATAGCCATTCTCAATATTGTCATACCGGGATATAAAAAAGTTATGGACAATTATACAAATCTATTCTCCAACAGAACAAGCATCAAAAACAGAAACTCTACTTTTTTACAATGAACTATCAAAAACAATAACAAGATATTCCAACAACCACATTATTTTCATGGGCGACTGTAATGCTCAAGTTGGAGCAAAGCAATGTAAGGAAGAATATGTCTTGGGAAACTATGGTCAAGGAAAAAGAAGTGCACACGGGGAAGTGTTAGTGGAATTCTTAATGCAACATAACCTAATGCTCCTAAATAGTATGTACATAAAAATTCAAAAGAAATAGTGGACATGGATTTCGCCTGATGGCCGCACTAAAAATGCAATTAACTAATAACAACGAATTATCCAAAAGCTTTCACAGATACATCGGTCATAGCAAAGTTTAATTTCAACACAAATCATCGCATGCTAAGAAGCAACATAAAGATAGAACCACCGAAGAAATCTAGAAAATACTTTACTCCATGCAACATAAAACATCATAGCGTAGAAACTATAAAGAAAATAAAACAATCTCTTATTGAATCAACTGATGAATTAACCATGAGAAACACTGATAATCATATGAAATATGATAAATTAGTAAAATTACTAACTAAAGTCAAATGCGATCATAACTGGAAAAGCAAATACAAACTTAGTCACACAACCATACAACTCATAGAAAGAAGGAAAAAACCAATTATCAAAACACCCTAGAAAAGACAACGTAAAAACTATTACGAATTTAAGCAAAGAAATTAGTGCGAACATCAGAAAGGATAGAAAGACAATGAGGCTGCAACATTAGAAAGGCATAATATAGCAAAGACAGGAGGAGTAAAAAAAGCACTAAAGAAACTGAGAGAAACAAACAAGGAATGGATACCCAAACTAAACAAAAATAAATGTACCTCATCTAACAGAAAAAACATAAATGAAATAGTCACAAAGTTTTACCAAGACCTTTATTCAAACCCAGACCACAAACAAGAACACTACCCGAGGACTGACATCAAAAGTGAACC